TGGTGGGAAGTCAGGGAATGCTTCCTGGAAGAAGTGGCATCATTCAGCATGTTATCTGTCAGCACCTGCTTTGTGCAGATATTGAGATTAGTGTTGGGGATATGGGAGAGATAGGACCCTGAACAATTCTAAGATCTAAGGGAGGAGCTGGAGTTGAGGGAGATGGAAAGTGGGTTCCAAGGGTCAGCAGGGATGAGTCAATGTGAAGGGTAGGCAGGGGCAGGCCCAGTTCAAGGCCCCCTAACACCCTGCCCCTTGGAATGTGGAATTGTTATCTCCAATTGACACAGAAGGTAACGGAGGCGGGGGCTTCACAGCTCCTAAGTGAGCAGGCTGGGATTCGAAACCAGGCCTGCAGATGCCCGTTCAGCCCTTGCTCAGGTCTGCCTGGATCTCCTTACACCCGGGGCTCCGGGATGGGTACCGTGTCCAGGATGACAGGTGGGTTTGTTGGCCAGCTCTGCCATCAGCCTTCGTCTTTATTGGCTGGGATGCTGAAGGACCAGAATCCCCCAGCCTGACCCACTATGCGAATCATCTGGCATTTTCCTTCAGGCACTTGCCCAGCTTTGAGAGTGCAGCTGAGCCATTGCTTGATCTTTCTCTGACCCAAATGAAGAACTGGGTAGCCATTTGCCCAATAAATTGAGAGACAAAACCTTGGTTCAGATTTAAAATGGGAGTGTTGGTGCAGGCATGGGAAAGCCATTGTTTCTGGAGTAGAGTGGGATACTAGTCCGAGACACCTCGATCCTTATCTCGACAGCCTCTGCAGTTAGTGCTGGTACCACCCAGTCCATCCTGTAGATAAGAAAGCCAAGGTTCAGAGAGGTCAGGCTTCTTGCCCAGGGTTGTACAACCAGCAGGGAGGTGGAAACGTTATTCAGCCCCAGCTTTGCCTGATTCTAAAGTAAGTGCCGCGTCCACCACACCCTGCATCCCCTGGAGCTGATCTTGCTGCTGCAGGAAACTCCACCCCCCAGAGCCATCTTGATGAAAGAAAATGAAAGGGGATCCTGCAGAAACTCAGCTCAGAAGCTCTGCTAGCAGCCTCTGTGTGCAGGTTGGGATCAGCCTCTTTTCATTCCTCACTGGCCCTGGGGGCCCCATTCCCTCTATCAGGACCGGCCGTTTCTCTAGAAATCGTAGCCCTCCAGCATTTGATGTCCAGTGAAAGTGGAAGAGAAGGTTCTGGTCTCTCAGAACAGGCCCTGTGGGAGACATCGCCAGTTTTCCAGAATTCTCGGGCAGGGGCTCAGGTGACCTGGAGCTCCAGAACTTAGAGATTCACTTCCCTGCCAAATCTGTCATCCTCCTGTCTGCGCTGTGCACCTCACCCTGCCATGTGTGGGGGCTGGACGTCCTGATGGGGGAGCCCCTCCCTGTGGAGGCCCGGGGTGGGACAGCGGAGGATCACGGGGCCAGCTGGGGCCCCGTGTCTGTACAGCTCTGTATTTTTGTTCCTCTCCAGTACACACTTAGTGAAATTTTTTTAGCAGTGGCTTTTACAGTCAAGATCAAACATCATTTATTATTAAAAATCAAAGCCATATATTCTTATGGTAATAAATATTAGAGCAGGGCAGTGGTGTAATTTTTTCTGAATTGGCACATGGAGCTTGCCCTGTTTTTTTTTCTCTATCTCTTTTTCTAATTATTATTGAAGTACAGTCAGTTTAAAGTGCTGTGTTAGTTTCTGGTGTATAACATAGTGATTCAGTCATACACGTGTATGTGTGTGTGTGTATATATATATTCCTTTTCATATTCTTTTCCATTACAGGCTGTTACAAGGTGTTGAACAGAGTTCCCTGTGCTCTGCAGTAGGACCTCAACGTGTATGTGTGTGTTGTATATATTATCCTTTTCATATTCTTTTCCATTACAGGCTGTTACAAGGTGTTGAACAGAGTTCCCTGTGCTCTGCAGTAGGACCTCACGGTGCCTTGCCCTGCTGTCTTTCATGGCCGCAGAGACCTCATTGAAGGAATGGGGGACAGTTGATTAAACAGTCACCTATAGAGAGACTTTAGGTTGTGTCCAGTTTTTATTTTTCTTCCATTTCACATGATCCTACAAGTGAATGCTCGTGCCATATATGTGAGGATTCATTCCCACAAGTGGGTATTGGAGGGTCAAAGGGTGTGTGTGCTTTTTTCCTATTAATGTAGCCAAGCATGTGGTGTGGGTCTCCGTAGTCCTCGCCGGCACCAGGGTGTAGGGCTCTCTACCCTGCTCAGAGTCTTTGCTTTGGAAGCATTCTTGGGGCCTACTCTGTGCTCCTGGCTGCCCATGTGGGAAGACGCTGTGCAGAGGGCTGTGTCCTGTCCCCACCCTCAGGTGTGCTTGGTCACTAGAGCATGGCCAGGGCTCTGCAGAGACAACTTTTAGGGATGGAGGTTGGCTGGTTGGTTACTAAGGCCGAGTGCAGGGAGGTCAGCGGGGGCTACAAGGGGCTCTCTGCTGGAGGGGTCATCGGGGACATTTCCATCATCTGCTGGGGTCCCTCCTGGCCCATTGTCCTGGGCTAACTGAGACTTTCTGGGTTAACAATGAATGGCCTTCCCCTGCCTCATGCAGGCGTCTCTTGCTGCAACATGTCCCTTTGGTGTCACAACCATTGCCTTGTGGCCCCTTTGCTTGTATGTGTCTCTGAGGGGCCAGCCAGGCACAGAGGAAAGGGGCTTGGAAGTGTCAGTTTCCATCTGTGGCCCTGTTCCAGAAGTCCCAGCTAAAGGCCCTGGGGAGGTTCACTTGGCTTCCATGGCCCTGCCTTGCTGCCCTGTGGGTCAGCAGGAGCCAGGTGGTGGGATGGGAGGGCTGAGTGGCCATGGGACTGTGGGAGGGGCAGAGTAATCAGACCCAAAAGGACAGGGACATGGAGCAGCAGCCTTGGAGGGCCCCACCCCGAGGTCCTGGTGGGACCTGATCCTGAGCTTTCAGCTCTGAAGCTTGGAGCTCAGCAGGGTGGGTAAGTCCAGGCAGGGCTGTGGGGTTCCAGGGTGACTGTTGTGAGGACCACTTGCTATCCTTGGGAGACCAGGGCCTGGGTTCTAGCTGGCCACCCCTCTCCAGGTGACCTCTGGGGCCTCAGTGTTCCCATCTGAGATGCAGGGATAACATGTCTTAAATTGGAGGGTGGCTGTGAGAACTACATGGAAAATGGGTGCAGAGGGCTGCAAATGGGTCTGGCGCAAAGTGCCCAGTAAACACTTGTGGGAATGACCCCTCTCAGGAGCTGGTAGCCTTTGGAGACCCCGCTGAGCTGTGCATGATCTCCTTCTCCATCTGTGTGTGACAGCCACCGTGTCCCAGGAGGACATGCAGGGAGCCGGCCACCCTCCTGCCCCCGGGGGGCTCAGTGGGTATTTGCTTCAGGAACCAGAGAACATCTTCTGGACTATTTTAGGGTGATGATGCAAACGCATCCCCATTGCACTTGGGGCAAGGGGGCCAGTGACTTCAGAGCTGCAGGAGGTGCAGGGCTTCTGTATCCCTTTGCTCTCACCACAGGCACTTGAGAAAAGGAGAAAAATGGGGCTCTAAGGTCAGGGGCTCATCCGGGTCACGCTGCAGGATTTGACCCCAGGCCGTGCCCCTGCACACCCAGCCTTCTTGGCCGGCAGGGAGTCTTCTGCAAGAGAGATGGATGCTGTTTTACATGCGATCACCAATTTCCTCCTTGTTGTTCAGTTGCCACGGAAACAGTCGTGGTGCCCCCACAGAGGCGGGAGTGAAGGCGAAGCCTGCCCTCGGGCCCTGGTCATCTCTGCTGGTGAGATGGGGTGGGTCGTGTGGGGTTGGGTTTTGAAATTTCCATGGCATCCTGGTGTCAGTGAGTGCCCGCCTCCCTCCATCACATTTACCCTGAGCTTTTCCTCCGCAGAGAACAACAGCCATTGGAGGGGTATTTCAAGGGGATTCCCGTGGAAATGGAGAGTAGGCGGCTCCTCTGTGCTCTTGTGTAGTGGGAGTTGCCAGGGCTGCATGTCCCCCACTGAAGGGTGAGGGGGGCCTCTGCCAGGACCTTTTCTGCACCACATGGGCCTCGGGCTGGGGGTCACGGGCTCCCTGCTCCACGTTCTCTTTGGCCAGCAAGTGTAAGCCCGACAGCGCTGCCCACCCAGGCCCCCAAGGCTCCTGTATACAAGACCCAGGCTGGCCCCCAGGGACCTCTGGAACCGGCCCTT